TCTGTAGATAACATCCACAGACTTTCACAGCAGAGCGATGACTTGGAAGCTTAAGTCAAATAGGTAGCTAACGTACCTGAGGGTGCCTTTCCCATCTTAAGGTAAGTGGCAAGGATCAGACTTTACTTGGTGTATGAGCTGATCGTATCTTTCAAGGAGTCATTCGAAACAGATCATTGACTTATACTTTCAAGGTACAACGAGGGCGGTTTGGACGACTCTAGATGGGGCTAAAAACTTGTCGGTAGATGGTGCTAGTGCGTTATAGGCAACTGGTCTATGGAAGTCTTGCTAAGGCGATAACAAAACGAGCGAAAGACTAACCATGCCGACAACAAAGGAATATCGCAAATGGCGGGCACGTTAACTCGTCGACAGGACGGTTTATGCAGACAAAAAAATATAAGGGGTCACCAAGGAATTGTTGGACCAGGACGTCATTTTTGAAATCGGCTTTGAGCACAACAAGGACTAATAGTAACATTACCACTCACTATGGCCTACCTAAGCAAAAAGAGTGGACGATAAGAACGATATCCCTTCTATCAACTTTTCAGGGTTGTGACCGCATGTAACAAACTATTCAAAGCTGAGAATCGCTAAGCGTTTATCTTCTCTACATACTCCGCATTTAATTCCCTTCTCCCTATATTAAAAGAGAAATTAGTTGGATAGGCTTCTTTGAGCCTTAGTCGAATATTACCATCGTCTAGTAATATATATGATGGGTCCATTCTGGGATAGCTCCGCTCAAGAGATTTCTCATATTGTTGCCCATAGGATGCCAGCAAATGCAACCTTTTATTCACTTATTTACAATGCCCTCTTGTAGTTCGAGTAGAAACGCAATATTATCCTTTATTATTTATATATTTGTGTATTAGAATTTATTTTAATGGACGCGTCAGCTGTACAAGCTGAGTATATCGTCAGATTTTTTACTACGTACTCTGCTGACTCTTAGCGACCTTAGCGGAAAACACCTACGGATAGCATGGTTTTATGCAGAAGTAGTTTATGCTTACAGTTGGTTTTCGATACGAAGTTATCAAAGCTAAATTACCCCTTCAGCCCACATTTGGATGGCACTCTATGCCACACCGTAAGATGTATTTTACATTGCTCTGAATTTACTTTGTCATAGAAGGTTGTATACACGTACGGTTTGACGCGTTACTTGGTAGACAGACCAGAACGGCTTTGCAGGCGGCCCGCAGAGAGGGACTGAAGGAAACATGCTGTATCCAATAGTCTTAAATAAAAAGCAACAGTCGTGGTGGTATGTAACCTACTATTAATGTCATACTTGTATACAGAATTCACTGTTTTATCTCTTAGCTTTCTCCAATTCTATTGAATGATCTTACTTACTAATTCTGTAATAAATCGATTTTCTACACATTGCTGGTACGTTAGATTTATATGAAATCGTTTCGCATTTAGACCAAGCTTCGTGGCTTTCGGCAGAACCATTACTACCTTCACCTCATTCGTGCTCTTCCTCGTTCGTCCGCTTTCCTTTTTTGCTTGCTTGCCCGTAGCGCTTCAGTGTCAACTCCGTTGCGAAAATACCCGAAGTTCGATTGTCCCTTACTCGATAATATCGAATGAGAAGTGAAGAAACACCATTGAGGAGCTCCGAAACTTTGCGACATCGGATCGATGCGTTCGAGCTCCGAACGCCGCAACCCCGGTTGAGGGCACCGGCGGAGAGCTGATGTTTGAGTTGAGTTTAAGCTGGTTGCCCCAACCGAAGAAGAGCCCAGAGATCTTCACGTTGGCGATTCGTACATCCGGCGAGAGTTTCAGCCGTCACCGTCATGGTATAGAATAACCGTCAAAAGTAAGCGCTTCACCACCTTCAAATAAATCGGGTTGGAGTATACCTCTTTGCTCGATGGCGCGATACAGACACTGACACGCGAAACAAGGCTGTCCCCACTGGGCCTGACTCGTCGGGTTCGATAGACTCACTGTTAATGCATGCCTGGTCACGCCTGTGCCGGCCAAACCTTTGGACGGATGGACGAAACCGCTGTAGTTGAAGACTGCTACAACAATTCTAGCTGTTATGCACCTAGCATGGAGCGTCACAGCGGGGCCTCCGTCATATCTTCTCGTCGCATCGACTCGATGAAGCCTCATTAAAATGACGCTCGCGTGGCCATTGCCTTTATCAATGGGATGGTAAATAGCCCTCGGATCCACTAGCAGGCAAGCAGGATCTGCGTTATTTCCTTCTCAGTTTACCTAGTAAGTAAATATGCTACTAAACTCGTACATTTCTACTCAATGTATCTGAAGATATGGCACGTTAACTAATTAGTTACTTAACTGGCCAGTTTGTGTGTGTGTATATATGCATGCGTACACTTTTTTCTTCATAAAATGCGCGCGATAATATTCATATCTATTTTTAGATACCGTAGGGTTTAAGTTTCATGTTGATTGGATTATAGCCATGTTGCATGATAGATCACTCGACTGTTCTATAATGGTGCACAAATTTGTATATTCATCATTTAAGGTTTTCAGTTGTGTATCGTTAGTCTACCCATACCCGGTACATGGAAGCAATACACGTACCTTTGAGCCCTACTGTGTACGTATTTCTCATCGCGACAGTCAGCCCTTGATGTACAGAGACACTGTCTGTCGGCAATACTGCCTATAACGTCGTAATATGAAATTATTTGCTAGTCCTCTACCTAGATGCACTGCAAAGAACTTCTGGGCTATATAAACACTATCCAAGACCTTGCTTTACCCATGTGTCCAGCCCGATGGCGACTTCCTAGCACGGCTGTTGAGGTGGCAAGTGGCATAAAGAAAGCACTACTGAAACAAGACAAGCGCTGTACAAGATCTGAGCCCGTGCAGAGTAGATAATCGAAGCTGATCCAAGTAGCGAGTAAAGGCCTGGTGCGGAGTTAAAGGACAAGGCAAAGAACCGAATGTGGGTTTGCAAGGGGACCCTTTAGGGGAATGGGCGGGGTATGACTTAAAGTTTTCCTTGCTTTTGTGATCTTACCGTCTCGCCGTGCTCTATTTCGCAGGAGTGGCGTGCTCCCACCGTCGCCGCCGCCGCCGTCGCCAAAAGACAGTAGTCCGACAACGTATTTGCGGTCTGTGGCAGCATGGTAATGTGCTTGGGCTCATGTGTGCGACGTTCTATTCCTGATATCATATCGCGTATTTTGTATGCAGCGCCCGTACGACCGGAGCCGCAGGGAAACGAATCCATCTTGTCCTCGGAAGCCATTTGGATTGTTTCATTGTTAAAGGAGCATCGGTGCAGGCAGATTGGAGCTCCAGCAAGTCTCCTCGCCATTGTATAGAGTTCACTTTTTGACACATACTTTTTATTTGTTTTTGGCTTAATCGTAGAATATTTTTTGGGTCAGTGTACATGCTGGTTGTATGGAAAACCCCAACTGCCAATACATATTTGCCGGAGGCCCATAAATGTATAAGGCTATATCAAGAGTTTCTTGCCGCTTGGCTGTTGCCTATGCGTTCGGCGCGTAGCGTCGAACTCATCGAGACTGATAGCGAACGTAACCAGATGCAGCCAAATAAGGCTAACTTCACACAAAGCTGGAACTGGTTAGTAACAATCGCAAAGCTTTTAAGGAAAACAGTTATATCTTCAAACGAATCTGTCGTTTTGTCAAAAATAGATTACCCAATCTGGCAGACAGGCCAATCGTCCTCAGTAGGGCGAAGCTAGAAGCACTCCGTGTCTTGCCCGTTCACGTTCTACACAAACGGGAAAGCGTAGCTTCGTGATTATTGAGATAATCAGATTGTTGTGTTTCAAAGAAAAAAAACAGAACATCAATAGGCTCTCATAAGTAGTTATGTAGCTAGTTCAAACAGTACGCCCATTAATTTACTACGAGCATCCATGTTTCTCATAACACACCTTGATAAACCCAAAAATTTATCAAAACTACAAATTCACCTTGCATGTCCCTAAAAAGTAACTAAGTCAGTATAAGGCGCGAAATCACTTAAATAAGGCTTGGCTGAAACACCGAACCAATACACTGTACACGTTGCCTACGCTCAGCTTTAGGACTTTACCTAAGCGCTACCCCTTATGCGTAAATGGAATATGTGATAAATATGCCATATGAAAAGAGGCAATCTGTTCCCATTGAGCGGACTTGAATTTAAGAGGTATATAAAATGTATTGTACTAGCTCTTTTCGGAGTCACGTTTGATCATTGTTCGTATCGTACCAGCTGACCCCCTAATAAATTAGGGTAAAAGCATCGAATCCTAAGCAAAGGCCGATTCGAGAATGATGATGATGCGATGGCAGTCTGCATACAAATGCAAGCATTTCCACGTTGTCCAAGGTACAAGGTAATACAAATTAAGTTCTGCTCGGGATGTTTGTTTTTTAGGGACAAAAGCCTCCAGCTGTTTAATACGATGTAGTACAATAACGCAAAGTTGCTAGGAAAGCCAAACTTCATCAGTGTACCAAAAACGCTACGTACATAACTTATACTATCTAACTCAGCGCTTCTTTAACGATCCGAGGAAAAACAGCTGCAAATTACAGTTAGAGCCAAGACATCATAGTGATTTAAACATTTCGCGAGTAGGTTTAAGGGTAAATTAAAAAAAAATTTCTCTTTTTTTTGAAAAAGTAGTCAACGACAATAGACTTTTTATTTAGAAACGAGAAATATCTGGTAAAGCATTGACTAACGAAACGCTAGAGCAGATTATGATTAAGACAGCCTTATTAATTGCATTGTCTTCATGGGCTCACGCAGTCCTGACTTCCCTTTGGGAACAAGTAACCCGATGGCTTCTCGGGGCTCTTCAACTAACATTGCCCCTCTTTGTACTACAGCCGCTGTTCCTTCACCACTCGCCAAAGCCCTTTCCATAGATCCTCTCCGTGGTCCCCTTTCTCTCGGTAGAAATTCCACGTGCGTATCTGTTGTATCGCTGCATCCGTCAGGAAGATGCGGAGCTCTGCGATCCGTTCGCCCGGAGAGCAATACTGGCAAACGCAACAATGTAAACTACCCTGGACGTATAAACGGTCCTGAAAGCCAACCTACTGTTTTTCAATCGTGCCATCCAACAAGGCGATACTAGATACGGTATTATCATGCAAATGGTGATAAGCTAAGATAGTTAGCCGTAAGCGAACAAAGCATCTAAATTGTGCATCAGTGAATAGATAAGCATGGTATAACGGGTGTCGACAAATAAGTGTCATCAATGTGTCGGAATGAAAAACCAAGTGTGGCAACAAAGGTCATGAAAATTTCTGTCGACACCGCTGGCCGTGTGCTGCTGTTGCTCTATGCAGCGAAATAATTAGTGAAGGACCACACGTGGATTAAATTAAAGTTTGCAATCGAAGGCGTATTTAGGACGAAATGTATCGAAGAGAAGTTCGTTGCTGTCGTGTACAGGCAATACTGGTGTTTTTGACACTGATTTGCATGTTTTGTGGAAGATGTTCGGCCTCGTCGGAGTGTCCTTTTCACGCGATGTGTTCGTGCAAAAGCGCCATGGTAACCTGCGTTGGTATACGGATATTCTCCCTTAAAGGTACACCAAATTGTCAAGTATTAAAATCTGGTCGGCAAAATAATCAATGATACTTGGGCGCAGGGTAGCTAATCAGTTTAACTTGCAAATAATAATCTCAAAATCACGTTTCATTTAGTCCTAACTACAAGGTAAGTTGAGAGTAATTATTTTCTCTAACGGTCCACCGTGGGACAAGTTCTCTCACTCTGGCTACAATATTGTCCTCGATATAGTTTTCAACTCGTGTAGTTAACCTAATCACCCGCTACGTAATTGTAATGGCCTGAGACGTTTAATTAAGGAAAATCGACGAGTTGGCACGTCCATTAGATTCAGTGATGGTATGGGTAGAAAATGGTATTCAACAGGCCGAGTGCACCCACTTGGTCAAGGCAGCCATGATAAAAAAAAAAGTGCAAGCAACTAGAAGAAGTCATTTGGATCGTGTACGAGTTTAGGTAGCGTCTTGCGTCCAAGCGGGCTCTATTGGAACGTTGCGTTGAAGCCCTTATTACGCAGGCGCTTCGTAAACAGATTGCTAATCTTACTAAAATCATCGATCGTTGTATGCACGTTAGCCAGCTTAACAAACGAACTGGCAAATTTGCATAGAAATACATTAAACTCTATATATTTCGTTTTTACGTGTGACACCAGAATGGATTAGTTCCCACAACCGGCGCGAGATTACCGATACGTCCCATCTCTGGTGCCCTTCTGCCAGTGGGCCGGGATCTTTGATTCAGTCTCTATCTGAAGTTCAGTGAATCATTCTAGGGTACATAAATTCTTAATACTACTAATCGCTAATGTACTTGAAAATACTTGTCATCACGCTATAGATTGTCCTGCTCGCAATAAGGACATCGAAGGCTATAGAAGGAGTTGTTGTCCGTTCTCAGTCACTTGGAGCGCCTCAGCGATGCGAAATTAGTGACATTTTATAAAATAAGTGGATTAATCGTAGACATTCGTAGAAGCACATAGCTACCAATTCGTCCTAAGTAATGGAATGATTGATCCAAAGAAATGTTTACTGTTATTTCTACTATTATCGACTGTGATACAATAAAAATTGTAGATGAGATAGGAAAAAAAAATAATATATATATATATATATATATATATATATGTTTTTCGTGTTTAATGAGAAAGACGGGTCAAGTTATGTGCATGGAGATCAACCTATCGGAATTAGGTATATATTTTATTGAAACCCAGCATCTGGCAAATTAAAGCAATCAGTGGATTGCTGCTTGAAACCCACTAAGGACATGTAAACACAGCATCACAGTTTGTCTGGATAGCAAAAACTCGGATATGGATAAAATTGTTAAACGTCAAATTTAAGGACGTCCTATTTTGCCTGTTATAGAAGCGAAGACTAGTGTACATAGTTGTAAGGGCCCGTTGGATTGTGTTTCGTCTGTATTTACCACTGTCTGCTGAAGGTCCACAAAATTCGATGTAACAATAAATTTTGTGATACATAAAATGTAATACAACAAAGCGTGTCTCTTTTACGTTACGGTTACAGAAACCTTTTCCCTAGTAGATAGTAAATGGAACGCTAAATTTCTTCCTCGAAAACACGAAAGAAAAAAAAAAAAAGGTAGGGTGATCCAGGAATGAACGGGACATATAATACGATGTCGACCACTCAAGTAATAGAGCTGTTAGATGGGATTATTTAACTTGTTCTTCCCTTGATGACGAAGTATTCAAAAACACAATGATCGAAAATATTATGAGTCATCTTTAACATGCTGTTATTTCTTGCAAAAGGAAATCATGGAAAAATCAGACATTAACATGATGAATTATTTTCTGCGTCGAGGGTCCTTCGAAATTTGGCTGTATAACAAAGTAACACATAAGAACGCTTCACATTAGCTCAGACTAACGGGAGTTTCGAGTTGAGCACGATGCACCTGTGTAAATTATAGCTGCGCTCAACGACGTATCCTTTCGCTGCACGTTCCCGTTTAATTTTCGACTAAAGGCAAAGATGCTTTTTTTGCCCATTAGAAGTTTCCTTAAGTTCAACTTGGTCATTCGCCGACCAGTCATTACGGGCGGCTAGTAGCGCGAGCGAAGTCTTTCTCGAAGAACAGCTACGGGTCTACTTTTTCCATAAACCCGAAAACAGTCCACTGGCTCTGTTCGATTCAACTTGAAGAGTTTCTATTATTCGTATGAGTGAAAATATATTGGAGCCTCTACAAACGGCATACGAACCTCAATTAGAATAGGATGTTTATCGCTATAGGCGTAATATGCATACGCTACTGTGACATCGTTCACAGAAATGACTATACATGATAGCGTATTTCCACAGTTCACAAAAATAGTATTATACCATTGGCATATTGGATAGTAACGCGTGTGACCTGCCGTGAAGACTTCCCAGCTGATCAGCACAGAAGCTGTACTCCATTGGTAGTTTCCCTATACCCATCGAGTCTATTTCAAACTTTCCCGTTCTAGGCATACATAGTAAAATCTCAGATCCCTACACAGGTAACTTGCCGATATTAAAATAAACCTTACCTAATAATTAAATTGCATCATTAACGCATACTAACAGAGCTATTTATATAGCTAAGATAATTATAAAGATAAATGAAGATTGCTAGTTATTAAAAATTATATGTTTTATTTACATAATAATTATAAATTCTAAAAAAATATCTTCTATGTTTAGATGCATTCAACAATTAAATTAATTAATGATTTAATTTAATTAAGTAAGAGGTGCAAACTTGTTGGCGTTGCAGTCGAATTATTGGGTAGAACTAGTTAAATAAAGCGGACCAAAGTTAAACAGCAAATAATACACCTTACTTCGCGTGCCAAACGTGAGGACAAAGCATATGGTAATTTAACTTCCACCCGAGTCTCATGAATTCTCGGCGTGTTAGCTCCAACGAAGGAACTTAGTAACCGCTAGCCTTATAACGATATATCTAATCATGTTGATGGTGGTAATGAGTGGAAGTACTCGTGAGCCAAGCGGCTGGACTCACTTAATCTTTGGTCTGCTGAGAGTGTAACTAATAACGTAGCATCAGCAACAGCAAAAATAAAGTTAGGCACAATGTTTTTTATAGTAACAGAAGCAAGCGCGGCCGAAACCACGTGATAGTAAACTGAGTTCGGGCGATTCGTTCACCTCGTCGAAGTCTTTAATTAACTTCGCTAACTTATTTAGCCCGTCTCCCTCATCCATTTGTTTTTCGTTGGCCCCTCTTTGTCGCGCGAAGATAATGTTCAATAACTCACTCTGCATTGTTTTCTCTTCCTGCTCGTTTCGCAACGTTTCCTTGCTACCGTTTGTGCACTACTTTGTTAGCACCGCCTCTTACGCACGTACTCTTTCACTTCTTGCCCCAGTCGAACGACCCAGTTCAAAGCCCCACTGCTTGGCAATTCAGTTATTCATCGCATTGGCCCATTCGGCGACTCTCGTTATTGCTCTCCGTGTCTTTTCATGTGTCATGTAGTTGCTTTTTCAGCGGGTCAACCTTTTTGACAATGAACAGAATCCTCGGCCCTCTGCTCGCCGTAGTGGTTAGTACCCACCGCAGTGCCGCCTCGGGCTCGTCATTCACACAAGGCAAGCATTCAAGCATGCTATATGTACACATGTGTGCACTCACCTGTTATTCCATCCCCATGATTTACACGTGCTTGTACACAGCTTGTTATTGTCTGCGTAACTGTCCTATCTCGAAATGTCAGCGCGCCTCGTTCGCAGGTACTGCTTAATAGCTGGCAGTCGGCCGCTTGCTGACATGGCGAAAGGAAAAGAATGACTGTGACCGGGACAGTTGGGCAAAGGCGGGTACCATGTGAAGAAACGTAGTGAAGATTACTATGCCGACAATGACTCGGAGAGTTCTATTATAGCTTGAACGTGTTTGACCTCATATGGGAATCAACTGTACTAATACCGGTGTACTCTGCGAATTTATTACTAGAACGCTAGGCAAGTTGCTATGCAGTATGTCTATTCGTTAGTTAAATGCAGCTAATATTTACTGTTCTAACTACGAACGCTAGCTAAGTACGTGTTACAGTATCTATACAACATGACGAATGGAGGCACTGCAAGGAATCACCGATCAACGGCTGAAGTACTCGCAGTATGTATCGCTCCCCTTGAGTCGGCATTCGAAAGGCTTCTGACCACTATCGTGCGTGATCTCTGTGGGACGTCGTATCGGAAAGCGCCCATAGTGTTAAACGTATCTATGGTGTGAAGGAAAAGGATGCGTACATATCTAAGCCGCAGGCGGCCAACCCGGAAACAAAGCAAGATCTTTCGACTGACAACCATGCTCAGCGCCTTCTGCTGGCGTATCTACGCAACCGATGGACGGACTATTTCGAAAGCGAAGAGATCCAGCCCGCGCGCGAATTTCGAGTTTAAATTCGAATTAAGACTAATAGATGTGAGAGCGGAGCGGGCATACGAAAGCAGGGGGCAGTTAAATTAATTTATACGACCGCTGTTTGTTTCCACTTCGTTCGGTAGCTCCCGTTAGAGCAGAGTCGAGTGGATGGGCCTGTTGGCAGTGTATAGCCAAGGGCAGGACGTCCCGTAGAGCGAAAAATATGTCGATTTGAATTTATTTACACACCCGCACACATTCGTATGGCCAAGCGGACAACGAACTGTAGCTGGCCATTCTGTGTAGAAAGGCAATGGGTCCTTTGCACTGCTTCTGGGCAGAGGCTAGAAGCACAGTTGTGAGAAAGCTACGTGCGTAACATTCAAGCAAGCTATGTATACATATACAACTAACTCCTATCTAAATCAGTCTACTTAGCACAAATATGGTCCTAAGCTAGCAGTGGGCTCTTGTGCTTCTCTGCGAAAATGGCCGCATAACAACGAAAACGACGTAGGTAGAACGATCAGTGCTCAGTATTCTTGTATCGCATTTGTCATATTTATACAGCAAGGTCATTTGATAAACAATATAGCAAGCACAAAATACTTCATACTTCTAATA